ACAATAGATTCTAGAGAAACCAAGGCCACGCTTGATCCCTTGTAGTTATTCTAGATTGTTTTCTCTTTCAAGGTTTGCACAAGTTGTGAGGACAATGCTGGAACCATCGGCTTTTGTGTTGAGTGTGGAGAATGGCTGTGTAAGACTTGTGTGGAGGCCCATCAGAGAGTCAAAATTACCAAGGATCACAAAATTCGTACAAAGGAAGACGCTGATGCCGCTTCTGGTAAGAATGCTTTCACATTAAAATAGCAAAAACCTGAAAGAGAAACCTCTAATGGCTTATTTGCACTTCTAATAAGCCCCAACTCCACGCAGCCTGCCACGGAAAGAACCTTTTGCACCAATACTTGATTTGAGGCTGATTCAGGACCTATTTTCATCCCTGCTTCTCTGGTGGGACCATTGGAGTTGAGTCAATCTGTCTCCAGACCGAAATGTGAATGCAGGACACTGATTGGTCGGGGGGGGGGGGGGGGGTGTCACTGGATCTCAGAAACTTTTCGCCGATCCGCCATTTGCAATTTCTCAGAACGCGGAGCTGTGGTTAGATCTATTTTTAAGATTTTAAAAAACAATAATGACTACACCGTGTTTAATTCAATCCAACTTTATTTATAAAGCACTTTAAAAACACCCATACAGGTCCAAAGTGCTGTACAGACAAGTTAAAAAGCACAAAAAGGAATAAAGTACAAGACCAAAATACTTAAAAAGACAAACAGTTATGCAATAAAAAAAAATTTAAACAGTAAAAGGAGTATCACATAAAGAATAATAGTAAAATCAACATCTCATATGGTATCAAAAGAAAAAAGATGAGTTTTAAGATGGGATTTAAAAACAGGCAGCGAGGAGGCCGATCTGATGTGGAGAGGCAGACCAGACCGTTCCATAGTTTAGGAGCTGCTACAGCGACGGCACGGTTTAATTCTGAAGTCCAGGTGTTTTTTGTGTTTGGTGACCGAGGACAAAATTTGAGCGAGCGGAGTCACCGCGGAGGATCATACGAGCTGCCGACCCGTTGAAGCACGCAAGGCCGGACCCCGAGCCCTGGCAGGCGGGAGGACCAGGACGGAGGGTGGAAACTTTTTTTTTTTTTGTAAACATTTTATGTATAAAAAAATAATGTTTTTTTTATTATCAGTGAAGAATAAAAATAAAAGTGCCGGCTTTATCATGAAATCCTGTTTTCACTTTGACTTTATTAAATAATCTGTTTAAAGTTAACTCAGCTGAAAAATCATAAAAAGACAAAATTATTGAATCTCTCAGGAATATTTCCCTCAGACATGTTTAAAGAAGAGACGCAGCATTTAGTTCCAACTTTATTCTAACCCACAGATGTACAAATCACAAAACAAGAATTACACTTTAAATTAAAGCTTTAAATCAAAGCTAAAATAATCTGTATACAAGAAACCAAACCACAATGAGCGCAAATACATCAGATGAAGAAGAAAAATATAGAATTTTAAATATAGATGTTTTTGTAGGATCTGGTTCATCAGATTTAATTCAGTTTATACGGCGCCAAGTCTCAACAGAAGTCGTCTCAGGGCACTGAACAGAAACATTCAAAGTTAAAAATAATAATTTAACATTATTTATCTGAGGAGCAGACTGCTTTGAATTTAACTCCTCGCAGAACGCTCATTAGCAGGACTTGGATTCTGGACACGCCTCCAGAATCGGTCCTAAAGTGCAGGTGCAAATTTAGGCTGAGCTGAGCAGAGTTTGGGCTGATTAGGAGCCGTGCAAATAAACCATAACAAAGTTAAATCAGATCCTCTGGATGGTTTCTTTTTGTTGAAACGTTTCATTTTTCATCCAAAGTACTTCATCTGTCCGAGGAACTGCAACAAACTCAGTCTTTTATATATATATATATATCTTCTCATAATGGATCAACCAGTTTGATGGTGCTCAGGTGGGTTCTGTAGTCCGCCCTCTCCTCCGCCGACTCGTTTGAGGCAATTGTGGCCAAAGTGGTTTAAAATATCCTGATTCAGGCTCGGTAATCCAGGTAGAAAAATCCAACAGGTCATCTGAACGGTTTTGAACCACTTTGGCCGTGATTACCTTGAACAAGTCGGCGGGGGAGAGGGCGGACTACAGAAACCACCTGTAGGTGCTATTAAGACGGAGTTTGTTGCAGCTCCTCGGACTGATGAAGTCTTTTGGATGAAAGACAAAATGTTTCAACACAAAGAAACCGTCCAGAGGACCTGACTGAACTTTGTTGGCTTTTTCCACCTGGATTATTGAGCATGCATCAGGATATTCTGAAAGCGATGCATTTACATGGCAGTGTTTCCCCTACCATTATCCAAGGAGGGCACCCTGCTCTGTTAACAGAACTGAGTGCCCTGCCTACCGACATCCCCGCATACCGCAAGTTCTGCCAACGGTCAGGGAGCGGAGATTGTTGCCAAGAACCAGTTGCCACAGGATAAGTGCCTTCAACCTAGCATTAGTAACGTAACAACCCCCCCCCCCCCACCACCACCCCCAACCCCCTTCAACAATCATGACATCAGTCACAGAATGCTCCACTCCCTTCCTCCCTCCTGGTCTGACAAGCACCCTGCCAAGACCAGTAATCTAGTGGAAACAGTGCATGGTAATATGTAGAAGGTGAATTTCGCTCATGGTAATAGAAATACTGCTTCTGTTGACTCCTTGGTTTGTTTGTTTACTCATGTCACACCTGGTTTTATTTGTGCAAATGCTTAAAAAGCATTCTCACTATTGAGATCCATTTTCTATTTACGTACATTTCTAATGATCTGACTCGTTCCTCAATTTGTTAATTATTTTAACATTTCATGTATCAACACATTCAGCTCATTCAGATTCTTGCTTTTTGGCATTTGCACCATTTTTTTTCCTCAATAAAAATGAATGGAGCTCTCTTTATATCTGATGAACCTTTTGTGCTTTTTACAATATCTTCCTGCTCACTTCACATTTGGTTCTGGTTCTGCTTCTTCCAGCTCGTTCGTGCTCATTTCAGCTGCCTTTAGGGTCGAAGGTCAGGGTCACTGGTCACCCCTTTTCTTTAAATAGCTCCAAATTGATCATCCTTTCACATACTAATGTCAAAGTGCACAGCTGGACACCTCATGGGTCAACAATGATTCCTATTGAGTTTGGCTGACAAGGTCAAAGGTCAGGGTCAAAGGTTGCAGCTTTCTTGAAATAGCTCTATAAATTAATACGCCTTTAACATAAAATTGTCAAAAATGCAGTTTTTATGCTTATTTTAGCTTTTCTCTCGCCCTTTCAGCTGTTTTTCTTGCGCTTCACTTTTTTCTGCTTATTACAGCTTTTTTTGTACTTCTGTTAATTTCACGATTTTCCTTCTTATTAAAACATTTTTTGTTTTTATTCTTCTGTTTTTTTAACTTTTATGCTCCTTTGTGCTAATTTCAACTTTTTTTTTTTTTAGCTCTTTTCATCTTATGCTTTCTATCAAAGTTCATGCTCAATAATCCAGGTCAAAGTCAGGTCATCTGGGTGGTTTCTTTTTTTTTTTAGTAAAACATTTCGTCCTTCATCCAAAGGACTTCATCAGTCCAAGGAGCCACAAACAAACTGTTCAACAAGCAGCACACTCTCATAGTGGGCCAACCAGTTTGCTGGTGTTAAGATGGTTTCTGGAGCCCGCCGTCTGCCCCGTTGACTCCTCTGAGGGAGCCATAATCCTTATGCTTTCTATTTTTTAGCTGTTAGTGTAATTCATGTAATTTGATGTAATGTAATTCAATATTCATGTAAGCTTTAGTTCGTCCAGCAGCTTTTAGCTAAATAATTCAGGAATACACATTGACAGCATTTTCAGGGTTTTTTTAACCTATTAACCTCTTTTATCTTTTTTATTTTGTCATGTTCTGGTAATTATTACGTGTCACTCTCCTCTTGACAGTAGTGATAATTTTCTGTCTTTGTGTGTGTAGAGTCTGTCAGTGCATCAGGACAAAGACCCGTCTTCTGTCCCATTCACAAGCAGGAGCCTCTGAAACTTTTCTGTGAAACATGTGACACTTTGACGTGTAGGGATTGCCAGCTTCTGGAGCACAAAGAGCACAGGTAAATTAGCATGCACACACCTGTATTCTTACTACCGGAGGTTAGTTTCTACTTGTAAGTTATGGAGACTTTTCAAAGAATTTTGTCATCAGACTTTATTTTGCACCACAGGGTTGCAAAGAGTCGTAAACATTTTGGATACTTTTTTTTTTTTTTTTACTTTCCTTACGCATTACATGAGAAGTTAAGCCCTGAATTTAGGAAATTATTCCAAACTGGAAACTTTCCATAGGAATTATAGGAATAAAATACATTCTACCCAAACATATTTAAAATCCCTGTCAGGGGCCAACCTTCAATAGTTTATGTTCAATTTACAACTCGTTTACGACCAATTCATAAATCGTAAATCAATATCAATTTACGACCCCCATTGGCGCAGAGGTTAGAGAGGGTGGGCCTGTGATCGGAGGGTTGCCGGTCAACTCCCTAGTTCATCTCCCTGGACCGACAACATCAAAATGGGGATGGGAAAGGGGAATCGCCCACACCTGCCTCCACCCTCATTCACTCACTCTATGCCCTTGAGCAAGGCTCTTTACCCCCCCCCCCCAGCTGTTTTCCAGGCACCAAATGGCACCCCAATGCTTCACATGTGCACACACACACACATATTCCCATAAATTCCTTTTAATTTAAAAAGTTTTCATCTTTGAAAAGTCCTAGAAATTTTGCAGCCTTATTCGTGAACTACCGTAGTTTGAATTGTTCAATTTCTGTACATAGACTATGCTGAAAAAAAAAAAAAAAACATACTTGAGACTGTAAGCAAAATAAAAAAAGTATTTGGTTACAAATACCTGGAAGTGTATTGTTCTGTAAAAGTTAGTTGCAAAGACTACTGCTGATATTTGTTGCAAATTACCAGGTATGTCAACCTGCCCAACGTTAAGACAGCGTTACAGTCACATTCGCTGTCTTTGTGTCGCAGGTAATTTAATTACAAGGTTACTCTCTTTTTCCTCTCTCTCCTTGGTAACTCATGACCCTGTTGCAGTTCATTATTGCCATCACTTTCTCGATGACCTGGACAAACTCGATACTTTCTTCTATGCTCAAAAAATGGATGATTGAATTATTCTTTATCTGCTTTTAGAGTTGATCGTTTACAAGAAACAGAAAACATTTAAACGAGTCAGAAAAGTAACAAATGGAACAATTAGTTTATTTCTAACCAAAAAATATATATTAAATACAACCGACTGAACACAAACTTGTTTTTTTTTTTAACATGTTCCAGTACTATTTGGCATATCTCTCTTTTTTTTTTTTTTAAATCATAGTCCTCTGAGACTTTCAAGGTCTGAAACTGCATCGTACAGTCAGATAATCAACTGAAATGTATGCATCTCTATCAGCAAACTCAGTGGCTCCTTCTAAAAACTGCTTGGTTATTAAATCACTGATGTACAAAAACAAACAACACAATCTCTGTTCCAACTGTCCATCTCAGTGCAGATTCTCATTTATTGTTAACAGTGATTTAAATACCTAAAGTTTTGCTGAACTTTTAATGTTGCTAACAGTATTCCTTAAGAAGAGACTAAATATATTCAAGTCTAACTGACAGTCATCTTTTTAGTAATTTTAGTTACTTGTGCACTTTAAAATTTAGCTCTCGTGAGTCCAGTTGCTGGGGTGACCCCTGAAATAAGGGTTCACATGAAAGAAGAAGAAGAATAAACTCATTTCTTGAACCCTGTTTTTGAACTGTTCACACCCCCAGTGATAAAATTCATCAGTTTATTGATGATGACTTGTTGTCCTTCTTCCCTCAGCTACCAGTTTCTGGAAGAAGCCTTCCAGAATCATAAAGAAATCATTGAGACCAATATGGCCAAGCTGCAGGAAAAAAAGAAATATGTCTATTACTCTGTTTCTCAAGTGCAAAACAGGTAAACTTTTCCTATCCTTATTTCTCTCCAGAGGATCGAACAGACACAATTTATAAGTATCTTTATTGTTGGTTAATGTTTCTTTTGAAAGCATTTACTTTATTTCTTTAAATTCAGGTTAAAAGAGTTGAATGAGACGCACAGAAAAGTGGAGCACGAAATCAAAATTGCAGTATTTACTCTTATAAATGAGATCAACAAAAAAGGCAAGGCCTTGCTTCAGCAGCTCGAGGTAAGAGAACAATGTTCATAGTATATTATATAAAATATAATATTCATATTTTTCATATTGTGCTGCAGAATTACAAAAAGCCATCCAGATATTCACTTTTGTCCATTTATTATTGACATTTAGTACTTTTCCATTGACTCCAGTTATGGTATGAACTTGACAAGTCATGGTTTTTTTTTATGCACTCACTTTGTGTTTAGTGTAACTTTATCCGTTTCTCTTGCGCCATTACATTTTAGCCGAATCGTATTAATCAGTCTATTTTTTGTTTAGAGCGTGAGCAAAGAGCGCAGCATAAGGCTTGTGTCTCAGCATAAAGACACCACCCAACTGGCCCAGCAGATCAACCATGTGCTCAACTTTTGCCACTGGGCCATCACCTCTGGCAGCAGCACTGCGTTGCTCTACAGCAAGAGACCAGTATGTTATGTATCAATTTAACTAAAATATAGATTTAAATGAAATGGTGTGAATTGTTTCCACTCACGCACAAAAATAATTTAGCTCCACTGAGTAGATTTTCCAGAACATGTTTTTAATTAATGCTCTCAGTGACCTTTGTACCAAACTTTTATAGCTAGATCGGGTAACTGAAGAACATTTTCTCTTTACTTGTAGATCATGTACCAACTTCGGCAGCTCTTCAAGGCCAGACTGGAGCCAGCGCCACAGTCCAATGGAATTGTGCGCTTCTTTTGTGATCCAACCTTCTGGGCCAAAAATGTGGTTAATCTTGGTGAGAGAAAATTCTTCCCATTTTATTCCTCGGCAGTCAACTTTCTGTTGCGTTTAAGTACTTTTTATTGAGTTGTTCTAGACAGCAGTAAGGCAATTTTTTAATATGTTTAGGTCAAAGGTTTTGCAATATTGTGTTGAAATTTTTTAACCACCACTTGTTTTTTAAATATTTTAATCTTTTAAAGTGGTGTTGATCAATAGTTCTCTAGACTTCATGAAGGTCAGTTTCTGTTCATGACCATGACAGCATATGGGACAGGGTGTGCTTAAAAATGAGTAATGTGGATAAGTGGAGGACAAATAAAATGTCAGGCCTAAAATAATCTAAAGCAGATAAACGGTATCTAGAAGACACACTTTGAGGAAATCCAACAAAAATCCTTAAACGACTCAACATAGAGCAGCACGGTGGTGCAGTTGATAGAGCTGCCGCCTCTCAGCGAGCAGGTCGCCCTGGTTTAGATCCCGACCAGGAGCCTTTCTGGGTGGAGTTTGCATGTTCTCTCTGTGCATGCGTGGGTTTTCTCCGGGTACTTTGGTTTCCTCCCACAGACCAAAAACATGCATGTTAGGCTGATTGGTGACTCTAAATTATCCCTAGGTGTGAGTGAGAGAGTGAATGGTTGTTTGTCTCATTTGTCTCTGTGTGTCCCTGTGATGGACTGGAGACATGTCCAGGGTGTCCCCTGCCTCTCACACGGTGACTGCTGGACATGGGCACCAGAGACCCGAAAAGGAAGAAGCTGGTAAAAGATAATGGATGGTTGGATGACTGGCTTGGTGCCATGGCATCCAATAGTGAACAATCAGTAGTACAGCAAGTAAAAGTAAACTTTTCTTGCTGTTTCCAGTCAAAACTACTTCAACCCCCAATCTGTGAGAGAAAGAAGAGACGAGGTAAAAAACACAAATGTTGGGGACGGATCCATATTTTTCCCCAGCAGCTGATCTCTACTGCCACGATTTGGACTAACCGTCATTTGAGGAATAATCCTGCTTGTGTCAAAAGTCTTATTTGTTTGTTAAACTGTGATATCTTTTAAACTTTTAATAGATTTAACAAAATAATACAAACAAATTGCCTTTTTGTGCACGTAATGTTGCATAAAAATTGAGTTTAAAACTTTGCTATGTTTGTTGTTTGCAGACACGACACAGGTTCATTTCTTGAGTTTAGGAACTTTTGTTAACGTCCGAATTATTTCTAGGTCGGAGTCGTGTGGCTTTTGGAAACAAACCATTTTTCTGAATCTAGTCAGATATTGAACAGAAAACGAGTGAGAGGAATAAACATCAAAATAAAAATAAAACGTTTTGAAATGTGTTCAGAAGGCTTGAGAAGATATGGATCAGGACCACTAGAAAGCTGCAAGAATATTGAAGTCCTTGAAAGCTAAATGTTAAAAAGTGAAGAATAACTGAAGACGTTTGCAAACTACTGTATCAGATATGGGTGTCTATAGCATGTGTCCCTTTGAGCTCACTAACATCTGTCTTCTTCTTATTGTAGGTAATTTGGTGGTTGAAAAACCTCCTCCAGCTGCACACCCTCCCAATGTGATGATAGGAGGACCAAACATTTCACCAGGCCAGGGCCACCCAGGCAAACACCCAGGCCAGATCAACTTGGCTCAGCTTCGATTGCAGCACATGCAACAAGCTGCATATGTCAAGCAACAACAGCATCAGCAGCAACATCAGCAGCAGCAGCAGCAAATCCAGCAGCAAATGCGCATTGCCTCTCAAATGTCCCAGCAGCATTCCAGGCAGGCAGGCCCACCCATAGTTCAGCAGCAGGTATGGGCAAACATTTCCAACAAGATAATTTGTAATTCCTGCAAAATAAAGCCGTGTGAATGCTAGGTGCTGATTCATTTTGCTGAAAGTTGCTGAAGAAGCTGAAGCCGACTGAACTGTCACTGCTAATTAAATTAGAAAAGTTGAAGTTTAGCAGAAAATAGTTGGAGAAACAGCTGAAATTTGAAGCTGCAAGTTGAATATGAGCTGAACATTGAATGTTGTTAAAATCTTTTGAAGCACAAGTGCAAACAAACAATAAAAATGAGTCATAAAAGACAGATACAGTCAGAAAAAGCACTTTTAGAGCATAAAAGACAAAAAATACATACAAGACATAAAAACAAATTAAACATAATGACATAAAATGACAAAGAAAGTGTTAAACAAAGAACCGAGGGACCTCTTAGCCGTCAGAGTACATGTAGTAGATGACTTTCAGCTACTGGTACTTAAATTGAATGACTTGGATCCATTTTTGTTTGTCACGGTGGCTGCGGTGGCCATTTTGCTTCAAGTTGACTAAAGGTTAATCAGTTTTAGATGTACACTCAGTAATTACTTTTTGAAAATTTTATTAAAATCCACCCTGTGGCTCATGAGATATTTTGCTAACAGATAAAAGGGGTGAATCCAACAGTTGTAATAGTCTCGTATAACGTCATCAGGAGACATGCTGGGAATTACTTTTACCTACCTCCACACCACATTTTAACTTGGTATGTCTAAAAATGACAAAGTTATTGCCATATTTTTGTTAGTTTTGGTAGCCATCTTCAACTTTTGATTAGAATTCTATGCTGTGAATTTCTTCTGGCTTCTGCCAAACAATTTTTACTTCAGTTTCTCTAAAACAACAGAGTTGTAGCCATATTTGTTAGTTTTGACAGACATTTTGAAAATTTAATTTGTTTCTTAGGAGACTGTTAGCATTATTTAGATAGCGGGAGGTTAACGGTACTGTTAGCTGATGGCTTCAAACAAAAGTAGTAAAATGTTAACACAAAGCAGGATAGATGAAAAAATTAAGGCAGAATTAGCACAAAAACGGGGCAGAACTGGCGTGAGCAGGACAGGATCTCAGTAAAATGGAGCAGAATTAACATAAAAACGCTGAAATAAAAATCAAAAAGCAGGTTTTACCATTTGAACAATGCTCCATTCATTTTCAGTCAGACTGAGAACTGCACAGATGTAAAAAGTAGTAGGAATGTCCTTAATGAGATGAATGTTTTGATGTTAAAAAAAGTTAAAATTGCACAAAAATTGCAAAACATGAAAAGTGGAGAGAAAAACACATGGATACCTGAAGAAATAAGAAAACGGTAAAACAACGAATAAATATAAGGATTCCACATTAAGCTAAAGTACAATTGGAGGAGAAAACGGGAACATTTTACTTAACTTTAAACTTCTAGTGAGTCAAAACATGGAGTAGGGTGTATTTTCTATAATTAAAGAATCTTTAATTATTGAAAATACCCCCTACTCCAGCTCTTTAATAAAGATTTCGTTAGATAGTTGTTTAGGTAAAATTCTGTTCAAGTTTCAGAGAAGTCATCACAGGAGCTTATTACTGGTGAGGTGTTGTCTAAATAAGATTATTTGCTGCTAATTCCTGCTCTGTAATCTAAGGATTTATTATTTTTATTTTATTATCCGTTAGCAATCCACACGATAGACTGTTGTGAAAAATTAAATTTTTTTTGTTTTATTTCTGCTTTCAGTGTTTTATTTATTGTTTTCTAATCAATGCTTGTGAAGTATTTTGTTTAATTTGATTGATTAGAATTTAATAAAGTACTAACCTACTCAGTGTAATCTCAGACAGGGATGAGATTAGTAATAAAGATCTAAGGTAGTTTTTTTTTCTATTTTCTTGATTGGTAAAGTTGTAATGATTTAAAGCTTCAGGTCATTTTCTGCAGATTGATTGATTTATTTATTTTTCTTCCCACCAGCCTCCAAGACTGATCAGTATGCAGCAGCTGCAGCGAGTCCCTGGGGGTATGAACGGTGGGCCCAGTCCCTCGATGTACCCCTCATCCCATCACATGCGTCTGCCGGGTCCACCTCAAGGCCGAATGCCCACAGCTCAGCCCAGACACAATGGACAGCAATTCTCACCCCTCATGCAGCCTCAGTTACAGAGACAGGTCAGTGCAGAATGTTTGTATGGAAGCAGAATCTGTGACACTTTAATTATTGTTTATTCAGAAGTGTCAGTTCTGGTGTAATTGCAGGGATTTTATAGATACAGCAGGGGAGGCTGGTTAGAAGCAACCCAACATCTTATTAAGAAAGCAGCTTAGAGCACAGTATTTTATTTACTGATCCTTATTTGTGCGTCATGTTCTGTTCACTCATAATAATCTGAGTAACACTTACACATAATAAATTAGAGTTTGTCTTAAAGACTTGCAGAATTAGTTTGTTGAATTCAGCTGAAGGCTCTTTTTGATTGACAGATTCTTCAGCAGCGTTAGGCTTCAAAATGTTTTTTTTTTTTTTTTTATAGTAGATTATTCCTAGAGCAAATCTGAAACAATGACCTTAAATATAGAAGATCATCTCATGGTTTGTCAAACAAGAAATAAGAATTTGCACAAAGAAATTTCAAAGTAAGCAGTTGTTTCAGTTTGTTTCCCAAAAGCATCTAAGAGAAATCTGAGACCTCATTAGTTTCATTGTTGTTGTTTTAACTCTCAAACACACTACTTAAACAAATCTGTATACATGTATTTATCCTGTTGTTTCAGTATTGTGCATTTGAAGCAAAGTTAGGCGGATTTTATTAATTGGCCTTTTGTAAAGTACGTTAAAGTATTATCAGACATACATGCATAAATCGTAAATAGATGAAAGTAGCTGAAATTCCAACAAAAAAAACAAGAACTTTCAAACAAGTATTTTATCTGGAAAGCACAAGAACTGCGGTGGCATGATGGTCAGTAGTGCGGTCTTGTAATCCTGAGGTTGCGGGTTCAAGTCCAGGTTGTGTCAGGAAGGGCATCCAGCGTAAAACAAATTACCAAGTCTTTCGTGCGAGTTTGCTCGCTGTGGTGACCTCTGAAGAAGGGAGCAGCCGAAAGAAACTTGCTTTATTTATTTTGTTTGAAAAAGAAAAATCGTTAGGTCAGAAGTAAAACCTAAAAATGTCAAAAGTAATAAATTTATACATCAAAATGCCCAGCTCATTTTATATTCAATGTCACCATTGTTAGAACATGTATTGTATAAATAACAGAGACTTTATTATCAATAAAATATATTTCACAAAGTTTAAAATTGTTGAATTACCGTATTTTCCACCGTACACGTCCCAGCGCCCTATAAATCGCATCAGTTCAAAAATGTCTAATAAAGTGGAAAAATAACATAAATAAGTCGCTTCACCCTGTAAGTCATATCTATTACACATCACCGCTGACAACCCGGAAATGTGGGCCGATGTTGTGCCAAAAATCTATTGGCGTCCGAGGGAGCGTGCACGGGAGGACTTTAACAAGAATTTAACAAGATTAACGCTTAAAAACAATTATTTGTTTGCTCGAAATTATAGCAAAGGTGTGTCTCAGTCTAACTTTTCCTTAATAAATGCACTTTGATGGTCAAATCAGCTGCATTTCAAAAGCCGATACGCGGAAGTAGGAGCGTGCACAGGAGGACTCGCTGTGCATTTCTTTGAAATTTAACAAGATAATCACCTAAAAACAATTGTTGGCTCGACAATATCTCAGTTGAATTTTGACTTAATAAATGCACTTAAATGGTCAAATAAGCTGCATTTCGCTGGGGATGCGCAGAGAAATGAATTTGATTTGACAGTTGCTCCAGGCGAGCTGGACGAAAGTGACAGTTTATGGCAAGCCGATCGTGTCATTAATAGCCACTTTTCCCTGTTACATGACAGATCGGCATGCCATTCTACTCGAGTGCCATCTAGTGGCTGAAATTGGTAGTGTTCAATATTTTCAGTCAGAATGAATGAAAATGGTCATAGCTCAGCCAAAAATTGGTTTATCAAATGGGAAAAATCCATAAATGCATCGCGTCTGTGTTCAAGTCACAGGGCATGCAAATTATGCAAGAAACTGCGACTTATAGGCTGAAAAATACGGTACTACGTTTATCTTAACTACATTTCTTATTTTATTCAGGATGTAATGCCATTCTTCTTTGAGTAAAACTGTTTTTTGAGAAGACTCAAAGTCCGCATATCAGTGTCTCACAAATGAATGTACACATATAATGCAAACGTACACATTTAACACGGTGCACTTGTTAAAGTAAGCGTTTATTTTCTGCGTGTGAGGTTAGTTAAGAGAAACCTCCACTATATCCAGCCCCTTTTTCTTTGTGTCCAGATGTCTATAGAATCTGAGATGAGCCACCCAAGGTTTCGTTTCTTACTGCAGTCAGGGGTTTGGCACCTTTTTCTTCTTTATATTTGTCTTGTGCAGCATGTGTGGTCCCTCCACTGCATGATGATGATGATGTTGTTTCTGAGACGCAGAACTTTTAAATTTATTTTAAACTTTAGAAAGTGAGCATTCTCATCATTACTGTCCTCTCGCATATCTTTCAATTCATTTCCCATTTGTGGTCATTACTCCATTATTTTCTTTCCACTGTTTTCTTGTCTTTTATTTCATTTCATCCCTCTTCTTTCTCTTTGTAGCATTCCAATCCAGGACATGCAGGCCCTTTCCCGGTGGCGTCCCTGCATAACGCCAGTCCCACGAGTCCAACCAGTGCCAGCATGGCTGGTGCCCATGCTCACCGAGGGCCAGCCAGCCCCATAATTGGTCCCATTGAGCTGATTCCCTCTGTCACTAATCCTGAGAACCTGCCCTGCTTACCTGAGATACCTCCTATTCAGGTGTGCACATTTTATTACTTTTGATTTCTTTTAAAATCTAAATTAAAATTGGAAAAGTAATCTTGTGAATTAATTTTATTGATGAACACATTTTCTAATAAAAATGTCCTTTGAGATAAAGTTTAAAAGGAGCACGTAACAAAGTCAGATGTGTTGATCCTGATTAGTTCAGAACATGTGATGGGTAAAGGAGCATCTCATAGATGAAAGTGGAACAAAGATGATATTGTTTTTCGACAGGTACCAGTGTTTTTTTTTTTTTAAATACTTTGTTCATTTCTTTGCGGTTCTTGAACTGTCAGTTGGAAGATGCAGGTTCCAGCAACCTGGGGCACCTTCTTTCTCGTTACATCTCAGCCAGCACCCATCAGTTTGGCTTAATGGACATGAACTCCTCACCTGGACTTTCAACGCTTTCTCCTGGATCTTCAGGTACCCACAAATTCAAACAGAGAGACCTCATCTCATTCAGCAGTTTCTTGTTTTCTAGAAATTAAAGCTGATGGATAAAGCATCGTTCTGCTGTGTAAATAATTCCTGAACTGATGAAGATTATTGTAATAAATTCATGTCTGCAGGTGTGTCTAATGCCCACACACCAGCTCGACCCTCTAGCACATCCAGCACAGGCAGCAGAGGCAGGTAAGACAGCATGAAGCTACTTCAACAACCTAAACGAGTTTAAAAAACATCTAGAAAATATTAAGAGACACAACTATTTATTAAACTAAAAATGTTTTTGGTATTGTATTGTTTTTACAACCTGCAGCATGAGTAATGAGATTACAACCCTTGTCCATTTTTCTAATCGGTTTGAAATATCGCCTGAAAATGTTCAAAATTTTGGCTAAAATTCAGGATTTTTTTTTTTTTTTTTTTTTAAGAAATTCGTTAAATATGTAAGGAAAGACTTAAATAGTAAATTGTATAATTAAGGGAAATGTGGTTTTGGAGAAATTTAAAAGCTATACTGAAGAAAAGTCTAATCCTGCCAAACAAAGAAGGTCTTTCTAAAATTTACAATCCGAGTCACTCCTTGTCATCGCGTTATTCCTGCTTGAACAGTTTGTCTCTCAAACTTTGAGCAAAACTTATATACTCATTTTTTTCTAAGTTCAGATGATTAGAAAAAGCTACATTTTAATTTTAATCAGCATGATGTTGAGTTGCTTCTACATTTATATTAACAGTTTTCTATTGTCTTAATAAGGTTAATATGTGAAACATGAGATTTTATCTTATATAAGTAAGTAAAGTGCTGTGTGTCATCATGGTATGTTTCCATACAATGATGAAATTATTTCTCTGCATTTAACCCATCACACGTGGGTTACACCCAGGTGGAGCAGTGGGCAGCTTTGTAAGCGCCAGGGGATCAGTTAGGGATTGGGTGTAGGAATGGGCGATATGGCTCAAATATAATATTGATATTTCAGAGCATTCTGACGATAACGATAAATTTTGTGATTTAACTAACTAAAAAACAGAAATCATTGTTATTCATTTGGCAAAATTAATTTAACATGTTGCTTTGCAGTATTATATAAAACCTAAGAAAAACAACGAGGATTAATTTTACTGCAGTTACTTTGTTTAGTAAAGTAATCAGTCTCAAAGTATAAAAATAAAAAAAAAAAAGAATGATCCTTCTGTTATTTAGATTGAAAAAGTCTGCACAAAATATAGAACAGAAAAAAAATCCACCACAGAAACTAAAGTGCAGGTGCAGTTCCTAAATAAACTAAATAAAATTAAAGCTTAAGATCTGTTGAGCATAAATGTAACATACAAGAAAACATATGTTGCCTTTAAATGAGGTATAACTTCCAAAACTTGTGACAGATGAAAACAAATGAAATGCTGCCTGAAAGGATTGTTGATTGTTGATCAATGGCAGAACAGCCATCAGCCAGTTTCCTGATCCTCAGGAAAGTAGCGGGTCTCGAGGTTTGAGCCGCAGCGTTCCCAGTCGCTGTTAGTGCACAGTCAGACTCCGGTAAGGCTCCGCGGTCCGACTTGATCATAAATTGGTGGTCGATGCAGTCAGTGTTTCCCCTACCATTATACAAGCGGGGTGCCCCGCCGCGTCAGCAGAACCGAGCGCACAGTGAACCGAACTGCGCGCACCTCCGCCCCACCCGCCTGCACTGACATAGCTCCAAGTTAGCAGCACGCTAGCTAAAAAGCTAAAAGCAACGTCTTTCCTCACGCTGAACCCTCAAGCTGACTGGCTCAAACACTGTCGGCACAAACGGCGCTCAGCTCAGATGTGTCTGTTCATGCCTTCACCTTTACAATTTGAATATCGCTGCATGACCCACGTGAGCGTAATCCACTGACCGCTGCGTGGTGGGATGACGTATTTACGCCATGAAATTAGCATATCATGATATCATTTATATTCCCAGGCAAGTTTTTTCTTTTTTTTACCAGTATTATTGTGAACAATATGATATGACCCAGTCCTAATTGGGTATCTTGCTCAGGGTCACCACGACGTGTGGGCATGACAAGGAGTTGAACCTGCGACTTTCTGGTCCCAAGTCGGCTGTCTTTTTACTGTCTTTCCCTTTCAAATGCAGTTTAATTTCCCAGTGACTCCACTGATAACTCATGGCTGAACGTGTGTCCTGTTCTGAAGCTCTAACCAGGAAGCGCTCACTTTATTTACCCTCATGTTGGTTTTGATGCTAACGGTGGTTTTAAGCAGTCGCGTCAGTAACCGCTCTTACTGTATTTGTTTTAGCTCTAGCTCTGCAGGTAAAGGTGGTACAGGAAGTGGAGCCACTGGAGAGCAGGTAAAGGTGAAGAAGGAACCTGGTACAGAAGAGAGCTACAGCTGCACGACGACTTCTCTGAAAACAGAACGAGGCAAAGATGCTGGAAGGAGTGCTTGTATGGTATGAGGAGTTTTTATAAACCATAGTAGTGTTAGGTAAAAAAATATACTGACATTTTGTTTCCCCCAATTTCCATGTAACATATATGAGCACATCAAGTTATATCGGACAACACGCCCCTGAAGGATTTGTTGTAATTCTTTTTGTGTGTGTTTCTCCCCCAGATGAGCAGTCCAGAGGGCATCCCAATGGGACTCGTACCTACAGGCCAAGATGCTCATAAGGGTCCTGGAGAACGCATCAAAACAGAACCCGAGTCTGATACACCCTGTTCTAGACTAAATGGTACCAGTGCCACCACATCATCATCTTCCACTAACACTGCCACCTCCTTTACCTCGGTGTCCACCAAGAACGTCGACGATTTAAACTCTCTGCTCACTAACGGGAACTTAGAGAAGAGCGGTGAAGCAACGGGGGGTAGAAAAGAGGATGATCCTAATGAAGACTGGTGCGCTGTTTGCATCAACGGTGGCAACCTGCTGTGCTGCGACCGCTGTCCTAAAGTGTTCCACATGAAATGCCATGTACCCACCATCAAAATCTTCCCTCAGTAAGTGATCAGTAATAATTACTGTTTTTGTCAGTCTTATATTTATAGAATATAACCATAACCAAAGGTATTTTAATGAGACAAAACGATGTATAGGCGTAAGTATACTCGTAGGATAAGTAGATCAATAAAATTAAAACTGAAAAAGTGGCTTTGTTAGTTACAAGATGTGATATTTTCTGCATCCCAACACTTGTTTCATCAAAGTTACAATAATGCTACCTAAAATTTTACAAGATGGATATGAATCAAATAATAATAATACATCTTTAGATAATTCTGAAACTTCTGGTTTGTATTCTTTTTTTTTTGTCTCAGGGGTGACTTTCTCTGCACATTTTGCCGAAGTATAACGAGTCCTGAAATAGAGTACTGTGACGAAAGCAAGCGAACGAAGGATGATCAGAACCTGAGTGCTGAAGACCAAAGGGTCAGTACCCTCCGGACACACTCAGAGAACTTCTTCATGACTTATAGTGATCTAATTTTCTCATCCTGTGTGTTCAGAAATGTGAGCGCCTCCTGTTGTACATCTTCTGTCACGAGCTTAGCATGGGCTTTAGGGAACCTGTTCCCATCTCTGTAAGTATTGTTCGGTCTGTATATCAAAGCTTATAAACATTGTGAAACAATTTACCTAGCTTTGCAGTTAATAACGCCATAATCCCCAAAAGGTTTTACTTTTCTCGTTCTAAGTCCACACTTACTTTTATGTTCATAGATACTTGCAGCCAAATTAAACTGCAACAAAATACCTCTTTAACGTGGTTGTAATCATAAAAGTTACATAAAACACAAGTTTTACCTCAGCTGGGATGAAGTGCACTGATCATGATGGCAGCAGCTAATTTGCCCAGTTTGTGCTCGTTGGCACTGGAACTGTTCAGCACGAATGGTTCCCGAATGCAAAATGATCAAAATGTAATATCCTGAAATCTTTTTCGTCCCAGCTGCAGACTGAGCTGCACCCATGCTCTGAAGTAAATAGTGAAACTAATTATAAGAAACAAGTAGTAAATCGTACAAAATAGGGATGCACAATATTGGATTTTTGGCCGATATCCGCTATGCCGATATGTTAAAACTTATTTGGCCGATAACTGATACCGATACCGGTGTTTTTATCCCTGGACCTACTTACAGAGACTACATAGCTTTCTCTGCTGTGGAATTAAAATACAACAATATTCTGCACGGTCTTTGTCAGTTTGGTCTGCTACCAAATGCAGATGCCAAAAAGGGGCTGAAAATGATGCAACACTTCAACTTGGATTATGTTTAATGTCAAATTTATTCATGACATTCACTCTCTAACACAAAGACAACACTCGAACAGTGCAAATTTGTAAATTTTCACAAATCTAAACTCAACATGTTCATAAGCGACAAGTGAAAAGCGCATAAGTAGTAGTTCATTAATAGATCTACTCGATAGTTTTTAAATTAAAAATGAACTTAAAACAGAAGCCTTTTATATCGTTGAGTTATTTTGATGGAATGGCCGTTATTTAACTTTATAGCTAATATCGGCCGATACCATGCTGATAATATCGTGCATCCCTCGTATAAAATAAAAAATGAAAAGTAATGTATAGTTATCCAAAACTTCACTTTTGGCACTTTTTCTTTCCTTGGGACAAATTCCCCGAACTCGTACCCAGAAACCATTCTCTGCTCGGCTGTTTACTCGTCTTTAGCTTGTTTTTGTTCAGTATCAGTATAATCAGTAATGAAATGCCTCCATCTAAAATAGATTATATGAGCTGTTTATTCTTTTAAACTAACTTATGGTTTAGTTTTAAAAGTTTTTAAATGTAGGTATAAAGTCAGTTTGGTTAAACTGAAACGCTTAAGTTAAATGAAACAATTTAATTTGCATTATTTCAGTAAAAATCTTGTCAGTTTGGTTATTCACAGACACCTGCGTATTTATTTGATTTATTTTTATTTCTCATGGGCTGCGAAAACAACATTCACAAAGGAGTCTGCAAATTGTCTCGCAGCACTGGGGGTTGTCGGTTTCCTTGCTTGAGTGGCAGACATTCAGTGTTATCGCTTGATTTTTTTTTTTTTACATGTACATAAAATTTGTGCGGCAAAATAATCCGAGTCATTGCGGACGTCTCGGACATGTCATCAGACGTCCTCTCAATTTTAGCGCAGGCGTTTCCAACCTGTCTCAGCCTGTGTTTTGACACGGAGCTCCCTTCTGACAGAAAACATGTCTGGGTTTAGAAACCAGGCAGATGATGAAAAATAACTGGTCCAGATCTACCCCTCTTCATTTGGTGGGTATGATGTGGGCGGAAACGGGCAACAAAATAATGTGCGCAGCCTAGAATACAGTTTCGCAAACTGTGCATATAAAAATAAGCAGTAATTAAAAAACAATCTGGCAGCACAGCTTTTTGATAGCTCAGAATCCTGAAAGAACAACTGTATATTTGTGATTTTTATCTCTAGTTTGCATCACTTATGAGTTGCCAGTTAGTTTCTAACGTTCACAGCCCTGTGGGATGCCACCTTTACCTTTTTTGTATCAGATACTGTTCAGAACTGTCGACAGCAGCTCACGGTATCTTTCCTGTTTTGTCTCCACTGTAAGGAATAAACTTAAGCAAGTACTTTGTATTACTCATTCAAATGTGGGAATAGTAAAACTATTCCCTGAAATATCTAAATTGTCAAAGCATAAAGTTCTTTCTTACACCATAAACACTACTCCTTTTTTTTTTTTTCGTCTTAAATATTTACAGGCATAACTAGACTCGCGTTTTATTTTCAACCCAGGTGCCCAACTACTACAAGATCATTAAGCAGCCCATGGACCTGAAGAGGGTGAAGAAGAAGCTGCAGTTGCGGAGCTCCCAGTACTACAAGTCCCTACAAGAGTTTGTGAATGATATGCGCCTTATCTTCAAAAACTGTGCAAAGTACAACGAGGTGAGCAGCATGTGCTTCCAGCCTGATTTGGGGAATAACATCTGCTAATATGTGTGTGCATGCAGACACGGTTAGATGGAAATGATTAGAAATACCGTTCTTAAAGGATGTTCATTCAGCTGTTTAATTAAAAAAAGAAAATTTTTTTAACAAACGATAAACACTTTGGCTTTGTAAAACGCTTTAAAAATATATTTGGGTTGTAATTTGCATTTTGTCCCATTGAGTTTAAGTTGGATAAAAATGTAATTCCTCAGTCATATTTGAATAATTATAGTTTTCATTTTTAAAACGAATACTTGCACTAAACTAACGGTAATAAATTATTTTCATAGTTAAGTTTTTTTTTTCTAAAAATGTTTCTTTATATAAAGATGAGCTAAGGACAAATTTAAAATGTCAAGGCAGAAAACTGGATCTTCATGGAAGCAATTTGAATATAAAAAAAATGCAGAAACAAATCAGAAATGAGCGTTTGAATAAACTTTAACACTTAACGGCTGAAAGATTAATGTAAACAAACATTACCACGTAAACAGAAACAAAAAGGTCATTGTGGGGAGAAAGAAGCAGACTGGATGACTGAGTGAATGTTGGTCAATAATGAAACATGTTGTTGTACTTGCTGAGATAATGGAGGTGAAAGTTCAATGAAGTGTTAAAAACGAGTGTCTGAAAGTCAGAGATGACTCGAGGCTGCAGGTCAGAAAAAGATGGCCGTCATTATGGCATCATTCCAATAATCTCAATTTAAAAACAGCATTCTTTGAAGCTTAACACCCACCTCCTTTCATATCGCCCACCTTTCACTGTCAGCAGCTGGAGGTGAGACGGTTTAGAAGAGTTCTTGTAGTGCCAAATGATGTGCTCAACAAACGGTTCAAATATCAGTCTGAATAACATTTACAGTACAGGAGTCCCTCGATTATCATGGGGGTTACGTTCCACACACCACCGCCATGGGTGAAAAACCGCGAAGTAGAAACATTATATTTATTTTAGTATTTACATATTTTAAGTCTTTATAAACCCTTCCCACACTCACGCAGTGTCCTAAACTCTTAAACCTACGTAATTTTAACAACATGCGTATATGTACTGTACAGTACTGCAACATTTTACTCACCACCTCTGCAGACCAGCAGCCCGGTTCTGGTCGGACTTGGTTCTGGTTCGGCAGACCTGCCCTGCAGCGACGAAGTCCGCCGCCCCGTCCAGGTTGATGTCAAAGTCAAAGTTTCTTTGTTTGTCGTATTGTGTGAAATTGTGTACACAGAGTCCCGGTTACATCCAACCAAAGTATAAATTGTAAAGAAAAACAATAAGATCTAAGATATGAACTAAGAAAAACACTAAGCACATGGATAATTGAGCGTCAGGATTGTTTGTGACTTTCCAGCCAGTTCTGTGAGATTAATAGATAGATCATTACTTCTGACTTTGTGTTGCAAAACTTTCCCTCCGTTTCAGCAGAAAGCAGTGGCTGGAAGCACTGTTGGCTTCTGGGTAGTGTAGTTCTTTTTGACTGGCGTTACAGCATAGGCTTATTGAAAGAAAACTGCGGTACAAAATGGCGGTGCCTGTCCGACGTTTTTTCTGTTAACTTTTTATTCCGTACACGAGAGTAATATTGAAGTTGACAATCGTTGGATAAACCATGAAAAAGCGACTGCGAAAGTCGGACTGCGAAAGTCGGACTACGAAGTAGCGAAGGACTACTGTATAAACTAAAGCAAAACATTAACCGGTAAATGATCGGAAATGTCCACATGAGAAATTTAGAATCCGATTGACAATATTTATTGAGCACAGATCAAGCTGTCAAGACGAGCTGCAGCAAAGTAAAAAAACAGATTTTAGTCTTGAATCCATCTTTATTTTCTTTTATTTACTGGTAATTAAGAAAAAAAAAGTATATTTTTGTGGTAGGATTTACAAATTCATTGTGTTTTTCCTAATAACAGCTGAACATTCAAGAGCAGAAGCGTGTTTGATGTCCGTGACTGTTTTTTCCTGTTGGTCTAACCTCACTGTGAACGCAGCATGCAGTGGTGCTCGGCCACTGCAGCTTCATCCGCTTACTAACTGTGACGGGTGGAGGACGGAGTCCTCTCTACATCCAATTAATACTGCATCCCACTGAAACGCCACAAGTCTGTTGTATAGATGGAGAGGGTCACGCCTCACGTCTTAAACAATAGAAACTTTACGCACATTCTTTGTTGGGGAGTAATGAAGTTTGATGCATTTGTTGTTGCACCTTCATAAAATGTAGTGAATCATATAAACTCATTCAAAAGAAACACCAGAAGCAGATGTTTATTTAAACCAGAAGACTCTGCACAGTTTAAAAGAGGATGCATGTGTATTTTATGTACAAATATAAATGTGGCTTAAAAACAGATAAAGTTGGAGGAAGAACATGCCTTCGAACGATCTGTTTATGGAGTGATCTTTACTTTCTGTACTTTTCTGTATTATTGACACCCTTTTTGTTTCTTTTTTTTTTTAAGCACAGTAAACAGATTAGTCATCTGTTCTTTAAACTTTCTGTGCTATGACTTCTCTCCTCCCCTGCTGCTTCACACTGTCTTTTGTTGTAATGTTATTACCCCCTTTAGATGTCTCGAATAATCCAAGTTTATGATGAGGAGAAAGAGATTAATACGCAGGTAAGCCGTTTCAAACAGAGCACGGATATCCTGTCCCCTCCCTCTGAGGCTCCTAGAAATGTTTTTGCTCTTTACCACAGCGACTTAATGAGCAGAGAAACATCTGCAGCCTGATGGCGTCAAGCTCTGAACTGGTCTAGAAAGGATGGATGTTTGTAGAGCGGCTGCCGGCTGGGACTGAGATGTAGAAGTAGCTAACAAGGTGTCAAAGACTAAAAACAAAACTCATGTCCTCGTTTCCTTTCGCTTGTGTTTGTTCTTGCATGTTTTACTTTGATGTTTGGGAACTCAATATGATGAAGAAAACGAGTGTAAGATGAGAAATGGTTTAATCACAACGTGCCGCTTCACAGCCGAGTGTGGTGAGGACCTCCTCCTAATGACATGAACGTTTTCAGCTTGTAGCACGTCCACATGACTGATACGGTGCGCTGAAAGGTGTTCCTGAGGAAACACGTTTTCCACCTCGGGACTGCGGCGAAGCAATGTGTGAAGGCCAGTTTAAACAAGCAGGTGTTTTTGTTTTTGGAGCCAACTGCTTTGACTGGTGGGACTTTAAAAAAAGTCCATCTATTTCCCATTAGAAACACAACAAAAGCTGCTGAGTAGAGTTCAAGTTAGCAGCTAGAGCCTTTTATCATGTGAAGAGTTAAAGATTTAAAAGTTAGACGCTGAGGAGAAAAACACAGAAAAACGTGTTCTTCCAGATCATAACGAGGGTTTTTCATCACCAGGAGAAGCTAGGTAATGTTCTGTTCACACACAGTGAAATCATTTGAATACAGAAATGTTTTACTGTCAGTTTAAAATGTACGTACAGTAGTCCCTCGTTTATCATGGGGGATCTGTTCCCTGAAGACCTGCGATAAGTGAAAAACCACAAAGCAGGAATAGTATTACAAGTAGTAAGTACCGTACTAGTTTATTTTAGTGTGTCTATATATATATACATAAAATATGTTTTAAACCCTTCCCACACTCTTGCAATATTCTAAATAATGTTTCTAAACGCTCTAAAAGAGCACAGAATGTCATGCTCTCAGCTCTCTCTGCCTCCTCTCAGCCACAGCTGCTCTCTGCGCTCTCGGCCACGCCCACTTCTCAGCAGCAGAACGAAGATCACAGAGGAGGCAGGAGGAACTGCAGGAGGACGTTTCTCCTGCAGTGTGGGCTGCACACAGGCGCTAAATAATTAAAAATAATTTATTTTAACTAAAAATTCCTTGCCAATCGTGCGGCTCATCCGTAAATCAGCCAATAGTGTGTCATGTCTAATCTTATTTTGAAAAATAGCGATGGAGCGAGTACGGGATAAACGAACCACGAAGTAGCGAGGGACTACTGTTGTTCTTTTACTAATTACTAATCTACATTTGTGTAGCTGTAACTGTTGAACACGTTTCCAACTGAACTAATGAATCCTCAAAACGGTGCCTTGTTATTGTTTTTGCTCTTTTCTGTTGCTGCATTTCTTCAAGGACCTCTATTATTGACCCTTTATTTTAAATTTAACAGTAAGAATTACTTTTATAAATACAAACACAATAATGCAGACAGGGCTGCAGTTTTAGTTCTTAGATTTAAAATAATTGCATTTAGATGTTTAAAAAAACCCACACAAAAAAAACTATTAAAAGTATAAACCACATCCACTTTTTTTAATCTCTGAGGTGTTTGTGGGTTTATAAACTATTATAAAGTTTAACTTCTAATAAATGCATCAATTGAATAGTAATAAATATTTATTTGGAGTTCTGTGTTTGACAGAATGACCCGAGAATATAAATGAGTTTGAAGATTTAAAAAAGTTAAATCTGGTCCTCTGGACATTCAAAAAACAAAACAAAGCAAAACAACAAGAAAAGGAGGAAGTCTTTTGGAGGAAAGACGAAACGTTTCTACATTTTTTGTTGTTGTTTTGTTTTTTGAATGTCCAGAGGACCAGATTTAACTTTTTTAGATTTTTCTACCCGGATTATTGAGCATGCATCAGGAGAGTTTGAAGATGTTTTCTTGTGCGATCACTGGATAATTTAATAAATATACACATAAGAAAAATGGATTTGAAACAAAAAAATTAACAAATGTGTGTGGAAAGAAAAATATTCTATTCGCAATGTTCTAAACTCTTAAACCTACGTAGTTTTAATGACATACAAACACCAAAGTTCATGCTCAATAATCCAGGTACAAATCCAACAATGTTCAGTCAGGTCATGGGATAGTTCAGCATATGTATATGTACTGTACAGTACTGCAAGCTTTGACTCACCAGCTCTACAGAACAGCAGCTCTGTTCTGGTCAGGCTCGGTTCTGGTTCTGCAGACCTACCCTACAGTGACAAAGTCCTCCGCCCCGTCCAGGTTGATGAGTGCGTGGATAATTGAGCTTCAGGAAGTTTCAGGATTACAACTTTCCTGCCAGTGCTGTGAGCTTAATAGGTATCGTAGATTTGCGTTGAAAAACTTTCCCTCCATTTCGGCAGAAAGCAGCGGCCGGAAGCACTGTTGGCTTCTGGGTAGTGTAGTTCTTTTTTTGACTGGCCTTACAATATAGGCTTATAGAAAGAAAACTACAAAATGGCGGCGCCTGTCCCAAATATGTTTTTTTTTCATTAACATTTTATCCCGTACTATCCCAATCACGTGAGTAAAATTAAAGTCGACAGTTGTTGAAAAACCACGAAAGAGCGAATCTGCAAAAATTGAACCGCGGGGTTGTTTCTTGTTTCAAACTGTAACTGGAGTCTGTTGCAGTAAAACAAGGTTATCACCTTTGTTTTTCATGTGGTTACAGCTTTGGTTAAAAAAATAAATAATTATATATATATATATAAATTATTTTTTATTTATTTATCTTTTTGTTGCTGAAAACGCTGCAAAACACCGCTGGTGAGAAATGTTCACAAATGTCTTATCGTATCATGAAAGGTTTTTCAGCAAGCCTTCAAAAGTCAGCCAGTCTGCTTGAGCTGTAAATGTGGACGTGAGCTGCTGAACATTTGAGCAGTGATGAGTGGAAACGCTTCATGGAGCCACAGTGGGACAGGAAGTCAGGATATTCCTGCTCTGCACAACAAGGTTGAGCTGGGACCGCTCTGCCATCAGTTTTAACCAAATCTAATTTTTCTCCTCATTCTCCTCTCCCTCCTTCCTGCTTCAACTCATCCATATTTCCCACTCGATTTGTGTTCTCGCACTTCCCTCCTTTTTATACCACTCCTCACGCGCTTCTCCTTCGACCTCTTCCTCCTCTTCCTCCTCCAACAGGTGGGGTCGGAGATGGCGATATCGGGCAAGGCGGTGAGCCTGTACTTTGAGGAGAAGCTGGAGGAGATATTCCCCGGCCAAAGCTTCCCCGAAACTCCAGAACCAGATCCCCTGGACGACAAGGAAGAAGAGAAGGAGGACACGGACGACTCCGAGGAGGACTTCATACAGCCCAGACGCAAACGGTTGAAAGTGGACGAGAAAGTTGTCCACATCAAGTAAAAACCGACGTCAAGAAGCAAGAAAAGTGGAAAAACTGTCTTCCTCCTCAACCACACCTATTTCTTTTTTTTAATTATTATTATTTTTACTTTGGAAGGGACAAACGATGAGAACGTTTTCTAAACTAACTGGATCATCTCGTCGTCGCCTTTTGAAAGAATAATAGTTGATTTTTGGGAGCCCTTCAGAGTGGAAGAACTCTGTATGTCATGGACATTGTACAGATTTCAAAGTAGAACTTGTTTTGTTGTAGTTAGCAATTGGATATTTCTTTAACATCATTCATTTGCATTTGTAGATTTGTTGTGACGATCGCTTTATAAAAATTGAAATCTCCTGTTGCGTTGGATGTATAATATCTATACTTTGACACGGAGACTGCAAAGTGTTTGTACGACTGTGGAGATGTTCTGTAAATAAGAGCGTTTAACCCTCTCAAAGTATTGCTGCCGTATAGATGTTCCGATGCGTCAATAAAACATGTTGAAATATACCAGGACATGGTTGTGGAGTAGGTTTGACATCACTCGAATGACACAAAATACAGAAAAATGTATCATTGATACTTTGATCTACTTCACTATTTGAGGATTTATTTGTAAAAAAAAGAAAGATGGCTGCTGTGGATAAATCAGTTTTATAACACTATTCATTTAAATTGTTCAGGGGGGGCACAGTTACTGAAAGCCAAGAGCTCAGCAGTTATTGTCATTAGTTTGTTTTATGGTTTAAAATCTTTATTTTTATTAAAAAACGAACCCCCTGGTGGGTCGAACTGAGTTCATCAGGCCCATGGACCACCAGTTGAATAGCCCCGTTTCATAAGTACTGTACACCAACGCTGAGGTCAGTACAACTTTCTACTTAAAAAGGATTAATGCTTTATATGTAGTTTGTTAATACTTTTATAAAGCATAGTTCAAAAACTTAATACAAGTACACTGAAGAAGTCTCACCGATGGAAACAAGTTCTGTACTTAATTCAAAGTAGATTAATCTGAACAGTGTTCAGTAAATGTTAATGTTTTCTAAATTGTTCATAATTTTTTGTACATTTGTAAAGCATTAATACATGATTTTATAGAGGGGGTTCTCAATAAGAATGAGCTGAAACATTAGGTGTCTAACCTGTTTAAAATTGGAAGGTTGTCTTTGAATAAATGTAAAAGTATTAATTAAACAGTTCCAGCTGCGTTTTCACGAAGCACACATTGAGTATAAATCTGTACAAGGAACAAGAAAGCCCTGCAGTCTTAACTTCTCAGCCCAGGCGAACAAGATGTTTCTGCTGTTTCCTGAAAGTGCTCAGCCAGCTCAGGACGTGCCTGTGGACAGCACGTGATTTCATGGGAAACCTGGAAATAAAAGCACGACCATCAGTGAAAAGCTGCTGAGTGGGCACAATGAGCTGTCAGCTGACAGGACTTGCATCACCTCAGACATGTAAAAACGATTAGCTGGACGACTGCTCGAGATCTGGTTGAAGCCTCTGATCAGGTAAGTTGCCTTTTTCTATTAGAGGTTTATACGTTTTAAGTGGTTGTGGAAATTTTATGTCCGCATTTTCTTTTCTGTTTGTAAGATATATTTTAAATGAGCTTAGAAGACTAGAGGTTTTTTTTTTTTTTTTTTTTTACTTAATATGCACATTTCATATATTGTACTTGTGCAAAACTTGTCAATGAACTCAGAAAGGCCTGCAACACAAATCGGCAGATAAGAATATCAACTAACTTTTACGCTGTAAATACAGTAGTAAAAGAAAAATCTAAGTATTGTGACGTTTCATAGACAAAGTCGAAAAATTGACAAGTTAAAAAAAAAAAAATTCACTGCAGGACCTTGTGCAGTGTGGAACTTATTTTGAAAGTCAAAAGCGGAAGCTCCCTGGAAGAGGCGGTCTGACGTATGACGTAGATACGTACACGCTTTGTGGAGCGCTGCAGCGGTACGTCAGTGTGTCCGCCATATTGGACGTGGCAGATCTGCAGTGCCAGTCAACTAATACAAGGAAATGGACTGAACTTCATAAAGCACCGTTCTACAAAGTATTTAATTTGATGCCTGTAATTCACACACACTAATATATCTGGAAAACAAACACAAATACAGCATTTATAACTTCTAACATGATTATTAAAAATGTTTACTCCTTAAATATTTAGATTAAAGGCAAACACCAAACGAACATATGTGTTTTTTGAGTGTTTACAACCACTAACGTGTGTAACAATATTACTGGGGTGATAAATATAGAAATATTCATATTTAACATTTTATCTGTGTCTATAAGAACCAGGCCCTGAAATGTAGATGTGACATGGATTTTCTGAATAAAGAGCACTAACGTTCACATTTAACCGATTTTGATGAATCGCATCAATGAACATATATACACAAATATATCTTTATAGATGGATAGATATGGATCATCAAGCCTTCGTTAAACAGTTATTTTGTCAATCATTATTGCCTCCATTAAAATTGGTTTTAACTAGTGTTAATAAAATTTATATTATATCTTGGAACACAGTCTCCTGCTTATTCAAATTATTTCCTTGGATGAAAGACCTAAGGTGGCGTTGCAGTAAGTTTAAAAAATAAAATGAAAATAACATCCAGTTTAACAGATTGATGACAACAGTAGACAACAATAGACAATCATAAAGGATGCGTACAAATTGAGATCTTTTTTTTTCTAACAAATGAAAATAAAATAGTGTTTAAAGGAAAATGTATTTAAATAAATAAATAAAAAACGCTAGATTGTAGGACGGTGGAGAAAACTAGAAAAACAAGAAAATGTCTGCATTGGTTCTTGCCAGGAACTTAACAGATGATTGAAGACATTTAGAGCGGTCAAGGTCGAGAGCTTCAGATCTTTTTGAAAGATATTCTAAGTATATATATATATATATATGTCTGTGTATATGTTTTCAAGTTATAAACCTTGGGGGGGAAAAATAGTCTTGCTAAGCTTTATCCGTGTTGCCTCTGAACGAATGAGGCATCTTCTTCTATAGCTTCACTTTTGCCACATCCAATATGGCGGCGACGTTGACGTACGATTCAGCTGACGCGTCTATTTCTGGCTTCCGGTTTTGTTGTGTGGTTGAAAATTTTTTTGTTGTTTATGGGATGTTTCTTGTCTCCAGGCTCCGAGAAACGTTGGTGTTTCTAAGAAGGCCTCCCTCATGTCAGCCACACAGGTAAGAAAAACAGCATTCTTTATTCATTTTCATCGCGTTACACTGAAAACGTTTTCATATAAAACCGACTGATTTACCGCAGTGTTTTACTAGAGTTGTTAAGAAGCTAACAGACGGCTGATGTATTTTCTGCCTTTTGTTGTTTTCAACTCTTGTACTAATGTGACTTTACCGTTACTTCTTACCCACTTTGTTTACCAGCCTTATGACAGCAGCTGTTTGTAGCTCTGTTTTAATTTGGTTCATCATTTGAACGGGCTTAACTTTCTTTTCATTCATTCCACCTTTATTTAAACAGGTTAATCCCAGTGAGTCGAGGACTCGTTTACAAGAGAGACCTGAATGCTTTAACAGAGTGATGACAACAGTGGACAACAATAGACAGTCACAAATGAGTCATACAAATTAATTTAGTTTTTTACAAATTAAAATAAAATGGCAAACAAAAGGAAAAAGTGGTGAAAAAAACAACAACAGTTAGATCATAAAGTGGTGTAGAAAACTAAAAACAGCAACATGTCTGCGTTGGTTCTTGCCAGGAACAAACAGATGTTTGAAGCCACTTGGAGAGGTCAAGGTCGAGAGCTTCAGATGTTTTTGTAAGATATTCCAGGAAACAGGAGCGGAGTAGGAGAAGGTCCTTTAGATTAGTTCAGTCCGCACTGAGGGAACACTGCAGGTAATAATGTCCTGAGAGCGCACGCTGTAGCTGCACTCACGCAGAGGAGATAAATGAAGGCAGCAGACCAAGAAGTGATTTAAAGATGAAAATGTACCAGTGAGAGAGTCTGTGTGAAGTTAATGATGACCAGTTAAACCAGTGAATACAGGGTGCAGTGGTGGGTACGGTAGTTAGAACCAGTTATGAATCTTAGCACACCGTGATAGACCGAGTCCAACATCTGCAGGGTTCTTGTAGAGCGTTCATGTAAATAATGTCATCGTAGTCAATGGAGGGAAGGAAAGTCACAGTTACGAGGAGTTTCCTAGCGTTCAGAGTTAGACAGGATCTGTTTCTGAAAAAGAAACTTGAATGATTTATCTTGTATTTTTAGGTATTTTGATGTTTATGTGTCTGTGAATTACCTGTGAGATGATTTTCTACATGAGCTGTTCATTTAAACGTATGGTTGAGGCGTTTTTTAGTGTTGTCTTTATGATTTAAGTGTAGTGTTGATGTTTTTTTTTAATACGTTAAGAGAAAAATAGAATTGTATTATATTTTCATTTCAATTCAAACAGAAGCATTCATATATAAAAATAATAATTTGACACCATTTATCTGAGGAGCAGACTGCTTTGAGCAAGCATGATGGCGACAGAGGAAAGAAAAAAAAAACCTCCCTCATGAGTAGGGCAGGGCGATATGGACCTAAATTAATATCTCGATATTTTTAAGATAAATCGCGATATACGATATATATCGATTTTTTTCTCCATAAAGTAATAACAAAAATATATTTCTGAGTCAAATCTTTTTTTTTAGACATTTATTTAGATTTATTTACTGTAGTAATAATCCTCTTCAGCTGGGTGCAGCTGTGGCTGAGAGACTAGAGCAGTCGTCCTCCAATGGGAGAGTTGGGGGTTCGATTCCACCATCGATATTTATATTATATCGATATTTTTTTAATATCGCGATATCGCCCAACTCATGAGGAAGAAACCTTTAGCAGAACCAGGCTCAGGACAAGCCTAATGGCATCTCTAACAAACTACTCTTGAAACAAAAGCCTTATTTTCAGCACTGACACAGTTACAGGAGTTTGAAGGAAAGTGTGTTGACAGACGTCTTTCTCCAGCTGCAGAACATGTGGCTGGATGGAGTCCTCACACAGAACAACTTAAGGGGCAGTTCAGACAACTTTACCTCCTTGTGTCCTAACGGCTCCAAATGGGTTTGGAACGGGCTTGGAGAGTGCGCCCAGGACGGGAGGGACATGGCCAGTGTCTTCCTCGGCCTCCTGTCCATCGTTTGTTTCTTGGTGTCTTCTTTTCCGTAAGCGTTTGCACCATTAATCAATAATTTTTTGTTAGCTGACGTACTTGACTGCAGCGTATAATTCTCTGTTCCCTCTGGTTGCAGACAGTACTACAGCTCGTGGAAAAAAGGGAATATGGACAGCGCCCTCTCCATCTGGTTTTTGCTGCTGTGGTTAGGAGGGGATTCCTGTAACCTGGTGGGCTCGTATTTGGCCGACCAGCTTCCTCTTCAGGTGACTCGTACAAAATGCAAAAGTCCTTAACGGTCGAAGAAGTCTTGTCGGTTAATTTACATGTCGCCTTTACATCTATGCTTTAATCCATGAAGGCCAAACGTAATGAATTAAATGATTCTAGCTTATATTTAAAACACATTTCTGGATTATAATGTGAATCAAATATGGGTTTCCACCCATCACTGACGTGTCTTTTTCTCGTTATGCAGAAATATACAGCAGTTTATTACGTCTGTGCCGACCTGGTGATGTTGGGCATGTACCTCTACTACAAGACCAGACACAGAACAACAGAAAGTGAGCGCCTACTTTATTTATTATTTATTTTTTGGTACTTTTTAAACCAAAACTCCGTCTCTTGTACCCTACTAGCCATAGGTTGGTATGATAACCTTGAGTAAAAATACTATGGTATTAGAACAAATAATCCAAAAACATGATCTATTTGCTTTTGTTTAAAAACTATTTTGCAAATACTGTCAATAATTATATTATAGGTATAATAGTTTAATGAGACTTAATATGATAATTTAGAGTTCTTTTATTTTAATGCACAAATACATTTGAGGAGACTGAGAATCTGTTTTAAAATCAGTTTGTCAGCTTTTTCCTGCTCTCAGGACAAATTTTACTCCAATTTAGGGTTAGAAAAAAAAAAAACACCAAACGGGTCTCTCTTGTAAATGAGTCCTCGTGACTCAATGAGACTAACTGTATAAATAAAGGTTGAATTAATTTGTGGTCATCTTTTTTATTTACCATAATTTGAAGTGAATTGAATAATGTCCATTTTTAGATTTGACACCTGGAAATCAGCATGCTGTTTTAAAATAGTGTTTTTTTTTTTATAATTTTTATAATAAATTGTAGAGGACATTATGAACATGAGCAGCTTGTTTGATGACACAGTTCTTCACATAAATACGGGATGACGTTTCCAATTTAAGAGACTGTTAAATGTTTGGCTGACTGTTGTTGTGTGCAGTAGAAACAAGGTGTGTTTCCCTTTAGGATAAATAAATTGTTCTTTCTTTCTTATCAGCTCAACTAAAAACACACAAGTGGCAAGCTAAACTACAGCACCAGATACATTTATTTCCATCCATCCATTATCTTTACCTGCTCCTTCCTTTTTTGGGGTCACGGGGTCATTGGTGCCCATATCCAGCAATCACTGTGCACGAGGCAGGGGACACCCTGGACAGGTCTCCAGTCCATCACAGGGACACACAGAGACAAACCACCATTCACTCTCTCACTCACACCTGGGGACAATTTAGAGTTACCAATCAGCCTAACATGCATGTTTTTGGTCTGTGGGAGGAAACCGGAGTACCCAGAGAAAACCCACACATGCACGGAGAGAACATGCAAACTCCACCCACAAAGGCCCCCGACTGGGATTTGAACCGTAACAACCTGCAACAGCTCTACCAACTGATCCACCGTGCTGCCCACATACATTTATTTATAAAACTAAAGTAAAGGGACAAAATGTTCCTTCTTCTTTGGTGTTCAGCTCTTTGTAAAGTAACATTTGGAATTTGACAAGCTGTTAGTTATTCAGCTGGTTTTTAGCCTCGTAGCGAGCTAACTTTCTGCTGAGTTATTTCACCTGCTATCATTGTAGCTTGATGCAAACGTTTGTTTCAAAACAGCGTTGCCTTGAAAACAGAGGCCGTGCTGCTCCTCCAGTAGACAATCCACGACTGACTGTGTTGCCTGCCGGATAAACTGAACAACCAACCACCACTGAATGTAACTGAATCCGCCCTTGACTAGCATACACGACTGAACTCGAAGCAACAGGACTTTCAGTGAGGAGGGGAAATACAAGAAAATGTAGTGGTTATGACGCTGTGGTGTGCCTTTAAACCAGTAATCGACCCGTTCTTCCACCTTATTTAAACCTTTGACAAATGGCACAGATCCGTAGTTCTCAGATTTAATTCACTGTCCTAATAATAATCAGGCTGCTGCTTGTGTCTTGGCCAGGGAGAACAGTCTTACATGCAGCAAGTATATTTTGCTTTCTGGGCCTCACATCAAGCCTCGTCCGTCTCCAGCTGTTTGGGTCTGAACTGGAAATGGACTCCTCTGGGTTCAGAAGTCGCTCCTTACTCTCAGCCGCTGATGCTGGCTCCATCAAGGTGAGGCCTGTTTGTTTGGTGGGTTTTAGACTTGCAGCGTCATGCCTGGCTGTTTTGGTGTTTCTAAAGTTACATCCACACCTTTTGTCACTTCAGGCTTTTACAAAGAAAGAGATCATTGGTTTTACCATTGGGTCTTTTTCATCAGTCCTCTACCTCTGCTCCAGACTTCCACAGATGTACACCAATGTGAGTATGACAAAGTTACCCATGCACTGAATGTGAGGTTGATATTTGAGACAGATGTTTTTGTGCAACTTGACCTCAGAGGTCACACTGAAATAGAAAAACTGTACAGTAGTCCCTCACTTATCGTTGGGGTTACGTTCCAGATACCCCCGCGATAGGTGAAAATCCACGATGTAGGAGCATTATATTTAAACCAGTATATATATATATATATATATATATATATATATATAAATATAAGGCTTTATAAACCCTTCCCACACTCTTGCAACGTTTCTTGCAATGTTCTAAACACTCTAAAAGAGCACAGCGAAAGAAAGCAGACTCTCTGATGCTACTGATACTGAGCCAATCAGCACCTGGGATAAAGAGCACAATGCTCTGGTTCAGTGTTGGACTGACCATTGGAAGCACCGGGACATTTCCCGGTGGCCTGGCCCGCTCAGTGATTGCCGAGGGGCTGGACCAAAGGCTCGGTTCGGGCCACGCTTGATTATTTTAAATAAACAATCCATGCCGCTCACTCAGGTATCTGCCTCACTGAAGCTCCCGCAGCTATGATGGGAAAGACAGACCCCACCCTCCGCTCCCTCCATTTTTTTTCTGAGGCTGGCTGTCACAGCAGAACAGAGATACACAACGGGTTTCATGCTCCCCTATCGTGTGTCTGTGCTCAGCTGTGACAGACAGCCTCAGAAAGAGAAAGGAGGAGGGGTGGCTCGGCGATCACCAAGTGGGCCAGACCACCGGGAAATGTCCCAGTGCTCCCGATGGTCAGTCCGCCCCTCAGCGTAATGCTCTGGTTGGTCGCCTTCCATCAATCAGCCAATCGTGTGTCAGGTACAATCTTATGTTGAAAACAGAGTGAATCAGCGAAAGTTGAACCGCAAAGTGTCGAGGGACTACCGTACACCGTAACTGCTACGGACAGCACTCTGTGAGATTCATAGTAGCCATCTTACTAGGTGCTACACCTATCACTCTGCACTGTTGAAAAAACTGAGCCCTGTGCGTGCTGTATGCTGCACTGATGGTACAAAAGCACATAAAAGTAGCCTAATTTTACTTAAATAAACATCATACGATTCGTGAAAACAGAAAACGGGGTATGTTGTAGTGAGCCACCCAACAAACTTGTTTAAGCTCAGCAGCAGCAAAGCACCAACCTGGTACACCACTGATAACATTTCCAAGTGCTGTAACCATCCTAATAGACCTGTAGCTAACCAGAACACTGCAGCCTGTGTCTGTAGTTAATTGTACTTATACTAATCATTTAAACTTAAATAAAGTCTTTATCTTCACAATTTTGGAAATATTTAAACCTAAGATAATGTGCACATCATTAATTAGACATAGATAACAGATTATGTCTAGTCTATGTACTAATTCACCATTTACTTTATAGATTTTATGCATAAAATGGGTAAACTAGTTGTAGACTAATGGTTGATATTTAAAACAGCATGTCACCATTATTGATCTGTTATTATTTCCATGTTGGCAGTGATTAAGGATGTCTTGTAGCACCTACCAAGATGGCAGCACAAATTCTTCCCTTGTTAACATAGACTGCACTGTCGTTGGCCATTGCACTGCATTTTTATACCAGTAAAGTGTAAAGCACTTCTTTAAGTGGAGGATATAAATGTGTAAACTAACATACAGTATATGAATATGTTTCCAGTTAAGACAAATAATAATACTAAAATGACCTTTTTCAAAACTAAAAAGGGGATAAAAGTATAGCAAGGAGGCGGAAACAAGACTGAATGTTCTTCAAACTGAGAGAACAAAAGTATAAATAACGTATAATCACAAAAGGTCTGGTTTCCTGTTTGGTCTGGACACATCGTAACATCAGTCCAAATAAAAATGAGTTTGTGTCAGCTCTGAAAATGTTTTCGGTTTCCTCTACAATGACATGTCTCATTCATTTCCTCTTCGGTGGATCCGTTTCTCTTCACAGTTCAAGAGGAAATCAACAGAGGGGGTGTCTTACTTCCTGTTTGCACTGGTCATTTTGGGGAACACTATGTACGGTCTGAGCGTCCTGCTGAAGAACCCTGACCTGGGGGAGAGTGAGAACAGCTACCTGGTTCATCACTTACCCTGGCTCATCGGCAGCCTCGGCACCCTCTCCTTGGACCTCATTGTATCCTTTTAGAGAGTAACAAACCAGCAGCTGCTGCGGGGCCTCGGGCTTCCAGTAACACCGTGTACATGTAACAGTTTGGGTTTAGTCAGGTGACGAGACCTAAACCAAGCTGGTGACGTTTCATCATGACTCATGACCGTGTGTGAGCAGAGTTTCAACATCCAAACACGTGCAGGGGAACTGGTTTATGTGGCCGCAATAAAAAAACTTTAGAGCCGTTACCTTAGTGTCCCCTGGAGGCTGCTCTGCTTCTCTGCACTTAGGATCATTTCAAGTATCAAGTTGCTTAGTGCGAAGTTTCATCTGAAAAAATAAGTGAAGGTTTAATCGGCTTAAAGAAATGCTCAAAATAAATATTCCACCATTCGACCCGTTCTAGAACTAAAAGATGTTTAATGTAAACATGGCTGTGTTTGAACCGTCCACTCACAGTGAGTCAGATATTTAGTTGTATGATGGGATGGTGTAAATAAACCATAATGCACTGCAGGCTAACGGAGGCTAAAACTGACATCTGTAGCTCAGTATTGTGATTTTTAGACTTGTTGGAAATATCTGTTTTTACCTGGACGTCTTTAATGTGAAGTTCTACTTCTGGGAAAAAACAAACAAAAAAAACACCAACTGCTGTAATTGTGTAATTTTTCCTCCAATATGTTTGATCTTCCTGACCTCGCCCTTCAGATCTCGGTCCAGTTCCTAATTTACCGCAAGGCTTCGGTTCTGAATGTGAACGGGAACATTCAAAACGATGAGACGGCGCCTCTGATCCAGAGCTGAAACGCGTATCGGGGAGTCTCCTGGAGGGCGAAGCTCGAGTAAAAACTCACGTCTGTTCAAATTCACTTTTTTAACACACGTAAAAACGTGAATTTATAGGTTTTATTTATTAAATGTCCTGATGCATGTTCAATAATCCTGGTAGAAAAATATAACCAAGTTAAGTCAGGTCCTCTGGACGGATGCAAAAAGTAAAAAATACAAAACCAAAAAAAAAATTGTTGAAACGTTTTGTCTTTTATCCAAAAGGCCGTCAGTCTGAGGAGCAGCTGTTATAAACTCAGTCTTATGAATATCACCGTCTTCTAGTGGCTCAGCCAGTTCTTAGTCCACTAATGGTCCTCCTTTATCATGCGAACAGCTAGTTCTGGTTGTCGACAACAAACTGGTTGACCACTATAACAGATGTGCGCAACTTAAGGCCCGAGGGCCAAAAGTGGCCCTTGGACAATATCCATCAGGCCCCCAATACACTTACTGAAGAAATAAACAAATAATAAAAAAAGATTGATTGAAAAAAATTAGCAATTTATCAACTAGACTTAAGGAAATTAAATTAAACATCTTATACAAAACTTTTTAAAAACATTTTTTAAGTGATTGTGTTTCAAAAACTAGACTGAACCGTAAAGACTTAGAAATACAAATTTATAACTTTGTTTTGCATATTTCTGCTAACCTGTATTACATGTTAAGCTAGTGTGTAATACATGTTAATCTAACATGTATTACATGTTAGATTAACCTGTATTACATGTTAATCTAACGTGTGTTACATGTTAGTCTAACATGTATTACATGTTAAACTGACGTGTATTACATGTTAGATTAACCTGTATTACATGTTAAGCTAGTGTGTATTACATGTTAGATTAACCTGTATTACATGTTAAGCTAACGTGTATTACATGTTAAGCTGACATGTATTACATGTTAGATTAACCTGTATTACATGTTAATCTAACGTGTATTACATGTTAAGCTGACGTGTATTACATGTTAAGATGACATGTATTACATGTTAAACTGACGTGTATTACATGTTAAACTGACGTGTATTACATGTTAAGCTGACGTGTATTACATGTTAATCTAACGTGTATTACATGTTAATCTAATGTGTATTACATGTTAAACTAACGTGTATTACATGTTAAACTGTTGTGTATTACATTTTAAGATTACATGTTAAGCTGATGTGTATTACATGTTAATCGAACGTGTATAGCATGTTAAACTAACGTGTATTACATGTTAAACTAACATGTGTTACATGTTAAGCTGACGTGTATTACATGTTAAGATGACATGTATTACATGTTAAACTGACGTGTATTACATATTAAACTAACGTGTATTACATGTTAAACTGTTGTGTATTACATTTTAAGATTACATGTTAAGCTGATGTGTATTACATGTTAAACTAACGTGTATTACATGTTAATCGAACGTGTATTACATGTTAATCGAACATGTATTACATGTTAAACTAACATGTGTTACATGTTAAGCTGATGTGTATTACATGTTAAGCTGACATGTATTACATGTTAAACTGATGTGTATTACATGTTAATCTAACGTGTATTACATGTTAAACTAACTTGTATTACATGTTAATCTAACTTGTTACATGTTAATCTAATGTAGATGAACATATGCATGAGATATATTCATACTGTTAAAACGGA